AAGGGCTCATACAGTGAGGCCATATGGGTAGAACTCAAGAAAGGTGCAATCACTATGATGGGGTAATACTATAGGTCACCCAATAGGGAGCAGGAGATAGTGGAACAGATATTTAAGCAGATCATGGAAAGATGTAAAAATAACAGGGATGTTGTAATAGTGTGATTTTTACTTCCCTAATGTTGACTGGGACTCCCTTAGTTCCAGGCCCATAGATGGAGCAGAATTTGTTAGGTGCATCCAGGAGGGTTTCTTGAAACAATAAGTAGATAGTCCAACTAGGGAAGGGGCCCACTAGACCTTGTATTGCAGAATGAGTCTGGCCAGGTGATTGAAGTTTCAGTGAGGGAGCATTTTGAGAACAATGATCATAATACCATAAGTTAAGACAGTTACAGATAAGGAGAAGACTGATCCTCAGGTGAAAATGCTAAATTGGGGGAAGACTAATTACAAAAGTATTAGGCAGGAACTGGAGATTGGGGTCAGCATGTTCGTGTGAGGGTGAAAGATAAGGATGGCAAGATTTAGGAATCGTGATGACGAGATATCTGAAGTTTAGTCAAAAGAAAAATGAAGCATATGTAAGGTTAAGGAAACTGATATCCGACAAGGCTCTTGAGAATATGAAGGAAGCAGGAAAGAACTTAAACAAGAAATTAGGAATGCTAAAAAAGGAGCCATGAAATGTCCTCGGCAAGTTAAATTAAGGAGAGTCCCAAGACATTTATGCGCATATTAGGAGCAAGAGGGTAGCTAGGGAAAGGGTAGGTCCACTCGAGGACAAAGTAGGGAATTTATGCATGGAGCCAGAGGAAGTGGGCAAGGTCCTTAATGAGTACTTTGTATCACCAAGGATAAAGACATGGATGACAGTAAGATTAGGAAGGGGTATGTTGATACTCTAGGTCATATCATTTTTAAGAAGGAGGAGATGTTGGGTGGCGTGAAAAACATTAAGGTAGATAAGTCTCCAGGGTCTGATGGGATCTATCCCAGGATACTGAGGAAGGCAATGGAGGAGATTGTTGGGGCCTTGACAGAGATTTTAGTATCCTCTTTAGCCACAGGCAAAGTTCCACAGGCCTGGAGAATAGGTTGTTCCATTGTTTAAGAAAGGTAATGGGGATAATCTAAGAAATTGTAGGCCAGTGAGCCTTCATCAGTAGTAGGGAAATATTGGAGAAAATTCTTAGGGACCAGGATTTGCTCACATTTGGAAAAGAATGGACTTATTTGGGAAGGTCAGCATGGCTTTATGTGGAGAGGTCTTGTCTCACAAATTTGATTGAATTTTTGAGGAAGTAATGAAGATGATTGATGAAGGTAGGGCAGTGGATGTTGCATACATGGACTTTCCTAAAAGTAGGGTGGTCCAAAAGCTTAAGTCACATGGGATCTACAGTGAGTTGGTAAGCTGGATAGAAAATTGGCTTCGTTACAGAAGACAGAAGTTCGTTGTGGAGGGTTGTATTTCTGACTGGAGGTCTGTGACCAGTGGTGTTCCACAAGGATCAATACTGGAACCTCTTGTTTGATACATATCTATAAAAAAAGGATTTGGATGAAAATGTAGGTGGTCTGATTTAAGCTTGCAAATGACATGAAAGTTGGTAGAGTTGTAGATAGTTACGAAGATTGTCTAGTTGGCGAGAAATGAGAGGGGTGATGCATTTTGGGAGGTCAAATGCAAGAGGAAAATAAATGGCAGGACCTTCCAAACCCATGACCACTTCCATCTAGAAGGACAAGAGCAGCAGATATATGGGAACACCACCGCCTCCAAGTCACTCACCATCCTGACTTGGAAATATATCGCCGTTCCTTCACTGTTGCTGGATCAAAATCCTGCAATTCCCTCCCTAATAGCATTGTGGGTCAATCCACGGCAGGAGCACTGCAGCGGTTCAAGAAGGCAGCTCACCACCACCTTCTCAAGGGCAACTAGGGATGGGCAAGAAATGCTGGCCAGCCAGCAATGCCCACATCCCACAAAAATGAATAGAAAAAGAAAAGGACCCTGAGGAGCGTGATATACAGAAGGATCTTGGGATACAAGTCTATTGCTCCCTGAAAGTAGCAACACAAGTGGATAAGGTGGTAAAGAAGGGTAGCATGTTTGCCTTCGTTAGTCAAGGCTTTGAGTTCAAAAGTTGGCAAGTCATGTTGCAGCTATATAAACTTTAGTCAGGCCACATTTACAGTATTGTGTGCAGTTTAGCACACTAAGGAAAGGATGTGGAGGCTTTAGAGAGGGTACAAAAGAGGTTTAACAGGATGTTGCCTGGATTAGAGTGTATTAGGTATAAGAAGTTTTTGCTAAAGCATTGGAGACTGAGGGGCAACCTGATGGAAGTATATAAAATTATGAGAATCATGCATAAGCTGTATAGTTGGAGTCTTTTTCCCAGGGTGGAAATGTCAAATATTAGGGGGCATAGGTTTAAGGTGGGAGTTGGAAAATGTAAAAGGAGATGTGTGGCAATGACGTTTTCGTGCAGAGGGTGAGAGGTGCCTGGAACATGCTGCCAGGAGAGGTGGTAGAAGCAGATATGGTAGCAACATTTAAGAGGCATTTAGACCAACATGAATAGATGGATACAGATCATGTGCAGGTAGAATGGATCAGTTTAGATTGGCATCATTGTCGATTAAGATATGGTGGGTCGAAGGGCCTATTCCTATGCTATACTGCTCTATGTTTGTACCCCATACGACATAAATGCAAGTTGTGTTAATGTTTTTGTAGCTTCCTCTCAGACACCAGTCAGCATGCAGATATCACCTTGTGAGTTTCTGTGTTGTGGAGTTACATGTACAGATGTTCTACCCCAACAGACATATCGACATATGTGCAGATATGTATCCAAGTCACATGGTCACATTAAAGAGAAAAGAACTGAATTCCAAAGACTATTGATGCACGTCTTGGTGGCAATTGTGGGAAAGCAATTGGAATGAATTCGTAAATGCTTAGCAAGTTGTGTTGTTATTTGGGCTTCTCAGCAATGAACTATAGGCTTCATTTTTTCAAGCCCGATTGAATCTTTTGAGCAATGTCAAATACAGTAGATTGTAGAATTCCCATTCGTGTGGTATAGCTGCATTTCAACAAATCATTTGATAAAGTACTAAACACAAGGATGGATTATATTATTGGTATTATTGGAACCACATAGTACTACATTGCTAACAGGTGAGATATAATAAGTCTAAATGGGAGGAGAATCTGAATGAGGCTTCGTCGCAGTTAGGTTCCAAAGAATTGTCAAAGGGCAATGACGTTTAATGATCTTCAATTTCATTAATGGTATAGAAGTGGACATAGGTACAAGAGGCGAGTAAAATAGATTAAAAATCAATATATTTTAGGCTGATAGAAGTAAACGAGGGAAGTTCACAGGTATTGTTTATTGTAATTTATTCAGGTTGGAAAATTGTTGACATGTTTATACCATGCCAAGATCAATTAATAGCAGTGAAAGGAGTTAACATGTTATCTTGTTCTGGTAATACTGGATTGAGAAGGAATGGAGAGAAAACTCCATGCACTTTCTTAAATTAAAAAGATACCATGGGATCTTTTACATCAATTTCTGTCTAACATTTCACCTGAAAGACATTACCCTCCTCAGCACCAGCCAACAGGAAAGGTTGACTTCTAATTTGCTGATAGCTAAGCCAATGCATTGTCTTAATATTCATTCTGAATTTCTCTCCTCCAGAAGGGAAAATGTTTTATCTGTTACTATACTTGCTGTTTAAAAACTGGATTTTTGGGACCATCTAGCTTATTGCCATTTTGTATATAGAGCATCTATATAGCCTCATTTTAAAATACAGCCTTTCTGCATTACTATGCATGGGAATAAGACTCCACATATCAGTCAAGCCACAGAGTAAAGCCAAGGATTGTAATTTTGTTTATTTCCCAATGAACCAGGTCTATTAGAAAGATTAGAATGGTTGTTCCACCAGTCGATTTAGATTGTGGCTGATTTCTACTTCACATATCTGCCTGTGTACCATATGCATTAGTACTGTTACTCAACAAAACATCTATACAAAAACAAAGTTGCTGGAAAAGCTCAGCAGGTCTGGCAGCATCTGTGGAGAAGAAAACAGTTAACGTTTCGGGTCCGGTGACCCTTCCTCAGAATGTTCTGAAACGTTAACTCTATTTTCTGCTCCACAGATGCTGCCAGACCTGCTAGCTTTTCCAGCAACTTTGTTTTTGTTCCTGATTTACAGCATCCGCAGATCTTTTGGTTTTTAAAACATCTATGCATCAGAGTTGAAAACTACAATTGTTGCTAGCATCTACAACCTTCTGGGAAAATTTAAATTTCTATTCCCCTTCATCTTAAAAAGTGCTTCCTGATACCTTACAAAAGCAATATGCTATAGATATTGAAGGCTGCAAACTAAAAATGCTGGAAATGTTCAACAGGTCAGGCAGCCTTTCTGCAGAAAGAAGCAGAGTCGGTCTTTCAAATCGATGACCTTTTATTGGATGTTCTGGCGAAAATTCATCAATCTGGAATTTTAATGTTTCTATCATTAGATATTGCCAGGTCTGCTGAGCATGATTTCCTTTCTGAATGGCCTAACTTTAATTCATTATGTCCCCTTGTCCTCCCTTCCCCCAAAACACAGTTTCTCTCTACCCATCCTATCTAATCCTTTTAACGTGTTAAATACTTTAATTAGATTATCCCTCCACTTCCTATTCTCAAAAGAATACAAGGTCGGCTGGATAGTTCTTATGGTGCTATCTTACAACTTTTCATTTTATATAGAGATAGAGCTCTCCCGCTCTCTATCTATCTACAGGCCTTTTGGCCCAACAGGTCCAAGCTGGTGTTTATGCTAAAGGCAAACATTTCCCACCTCACTCATTTAGCCTGTCAACAGATTATTCGCTTCTTTCACCTACATGTGCGTCCACATATTTCATTTAAATGCATTTAAGCTTCAACTAGTGAAGTGACATGTCCTACCTGTTGCAAGTATGAAAGTTTTGGTGCAGCTCCTTTGAGATCCAAGTGCACAATTCTCATCCCTGAAATGCCATAATCCTTCTGTTTCCGAGTCTTTGGTTTCACCTCTGCCTTTATGATTTCCTTTACCTGCTGTACAGTTTGGATTTCTTCATGTTCCAGTTTTTGGTTATTTGTAATTGCTCCTCCACGTTTATTCCAAAAGCTATCTTTTGCAGGAGTGTCCAATTGCTTTGTTCTAAAATAGACAATTACTTTCAATTAGCAGATTCTCTTAAGCAGAGACCCGTAATGGGTTCCTCAGCCTAGGACACTGGTGAGATTGAGGTTGGTGAAAGCAGATTAATCGTTAAAATGTAAATCTTCAAGTTCAAAATTAAGGAAGAAACGACTTGATTTAATTACACTCGAGTGAAAGCAAAAGAAAGTTAGCAGTTATGGGGATGTGTAAAGATGAATGAGAGGAGAAAGAAGCAATAATAGTGGAATGATGGCAATATCTTCAAAACATCACAAACATTCATTAACATACACATTTGAATGATTAAAGACTTTGTAAAACAGTAGGGCAACAGCAGTGGGGATACAGAGGCCAGAAAAGATGTAGGGAACAATGCACAATGGAAACTGAGAACAGGCTGGGGTAGTTGATCAGTGTTTGGGAAAAACTTGGTAGAGTATCAAAACATGGATTAGCTACTGAAAATGGAAGGAATTTGGGAAATTTAACAATATCTTGGGAATATAATAAAGATTATCATGAAAAACAAAATTCACTGGGAAAAGATTCAATGCTCTACATCACGTCAGTGACTGCATTTCTAAAGTATTTCATTGGTTGTAAAACGGTTTGAGAGTCTGATGGTAATGAAGAGCACTATACAAATGCAAGCCTTTTTTTTTCCAATGGAAGTAGGGCTGGAAGCCCAAGGTGGTAGTGGTGGGAAGGCAGAGTACAGGAAGGAGGTAGAGAGCTTAGCGGCATGATGTAAAGACAACAATCTCCCCCTCAACATCAGCAAAACAATGTCATTGACTGCCGGAAGCAGAGTGGAGGACACGCCCCTGTCTGTATCAATGGTGGTGAGGTGGAGATGATCAAAAGATTTAGGTTCCTCGGAGTAAAGATCACCATCAATCTATCCTGGTCTAACCACATCAACACTACAGTCAAGAAAGCACAACTACACCTCTACTTCCTCATAAGGCTAAGGAAATTCAGCATGTCCATAGTGACTCTTACCAATTTTTATAGACGCACCATAAAAGTGTCCTTTCTGGATGCATCATAGCTTGGTATGGCAACTGCTCTGCCTAAGACCACACGAAATTCCCCATAACTGTTAAACTTGTTTTGCTTTCACTTGAGTTTAATTAAATCATGTTATTTCTTGTTTAGTTTGAAACTTGAAGATTTACATTTTAATGATTAATCTGCTTTCACCAACCTCAAGACCATCAAACAAACCTGTCTTCCTTCCATTGACTCCGTCTACACCTCTCACTGTCTCTGGAAAGCAGCCAACATAATCAACGATTCGTCCTACCCAGATTATACTTACTTCCATTGGGCAGATGATGTAAGAGTTTGAAAACAAGTACCAACAGATTCAAGAACAGCTATTTCCCTGTTATCAGACTTATGAACAGATCTCTCTTCTATTAGAGCTGATCTTTCTCTGCACCTTCTCTGTAGCTGCAACATTATATTCTGCATTCTGTTCTATTACCCTGATGTATTTACGTAATCTATGATTTGTCTGGTTAGCAGACAAAACAATACTTTTCACTCTATCTTAGTACATGTGACAATAACAAATCAAAATCAAATTTAAAAAAAGTGCAAACCTGTGTACCTCAAGTAGAAAATTGTGGTCTATGATTTGATACTGGGCAGTAATATTGACCCCAGACAGGAAAACAGAGCCACCGATTTAATTCACACTTATCCTACCTAATACTTTTCCAGAGATCCTCACTATCCTATCTTCCAGGTACAATTGTCATGAGTAGATCATGAGACCTCGGAGCCAAAGTAGGCCATTCTGCTGATATGATAATCCTTAACTCTGCATTCTTGTGTTTTCCCCATAACCCTTGATTAACTTACTGATTAAAAAGCTGTCTCTGTCAGACTTGAATATACTTAATGACCCAGCCTTTACAGTAATCTGCAGTAAAGAATTCCACAGATTCACCACCCTCAGAAAAGAAATTCCTCCCCATCTCTGTCTTAAACGTGCGACCCCTTCTTCTGAGATTTTTGCCCATTGGTCCTAGACTTTCCCATAAGGAGAAACAACCTTTTCACATTTACCCTATCAACTAAGAATCTCACCCAATGCCTCATTGGCAAGAACCTTCAACCAAACATAAATGATCATAACACCCTACACTGGACTCACAGCTAGAATCCAATGGGATCATGGCAAGGCCAAGCCAAATCTACATCACACTTTGAGCTACTTTTGTCAAGAAAACACTCAACCTGTAACCTCAATAAAGTTGAATATCAAGTGCAGCTGGGGCTAAGGGACAACATAATCTCCAAGTTTCCCCTTGAGATCACATACTATCCTGACATCAAGATAGGTTGGCTGTTTTTTCATTGATGCTAGGTCAATGTCAGGGACCTTCTTCCCTAAACTTTGGGGACATTTTTATCACAAACTGTAGCAATTAAAGAAGACCCTCCATTAAGTTCTCAAGGACAACTAGGGATGAGCTGTAAAATGTTGGCTTTGCCACTGATACCCACATGCTGAAAATAAATTTGAAAGATAACTTACTTGAATATTGGATACATCTTCAAACCCGTTATTACTACAATCAACAAAACTAGGAAACGCAACACAGTCATGCAGTTTATCCTTGCCATGTTCAATGGTAATCCTGCAGGAAAGAGAAAACTAGATCATTAATGTTAATTTTTAAAAAGATCTTAGAACTTGCATTCATATGTTTTTGCACAGCTTCAGGTCACAGAGTCAAATAACTACTTATGCAAAATATGTTAATTTGGGAAAATGCCAATTTGCTCACATTAAGGTCCCACAAACTGCCAAAGGATGAGTGATCAGTCATCTGATTGGGGTAGTACAATCTCCACCACTTCAAGCAAGTCTTTATTTCACACTGTCATCAATTTCAAAATTGCCATTGATAGTGTTTTAAGTTTAGCTTGGACAGAAACAACTGAGATTAGTGACTATTTCATAGCTCATTAAAGGTGCACATAATGCAAGTACAAACTTCTCTAAATAGCATTTAGTTAATGTTCAATTAGGGTTTTATGTATTTATAATTTCTGAAGTGGTGTGAGGTTGCGGTTTCTACATGTAATTTAAATAAAACTGCAGCTCATAATTAAACTACATGGAAGGTGCATTCCTGCTACTTATTAAAATAATTCCACATGGTATACTATAGCAGTCAAACCATATTCATACAAAAGCACCCACGACAAGCAGCAGGGACTATTATTTGCCAGTATCTAAATACTTGCACTGAAAAGATGCCATGAGGTCTTTCAAGTCCACCTGAGAAGGACATTTGTTTAATAGCTCATCCGAAAAGTGACACCAAACTGCCAAGATGTGAGAAGCAGTTCAGTCCGTTCTGCAGGGTATAATCAGCCAACCACTTTTTCTAACGTTACCTTGAAGTAGTACCTGGAAGCATTGCAAGAATAGCTTAAAATGAAAATGTATCCATGGCAGCACAGTCTGAAGCAATTGAATTGCTTGCTGTTGGAATTTACTGTAATAAAATGAAATGCACACCAACATCAAGTCATACAAGTTGATATTTTCACTTTCTTGATGGCAAAGTACAGGTGAAGTGCTACTGTGTTGCAATGTGTTAGGACAATTCGTTCTATAAGGAACTGTTCCACTATTAGAGGATAAGAGGATAGAGAAACAAAGGCAAGGCTGCAACAAGGTGGACTTTATTCCACAAATGAGATGATTTCAATGATGTGGTTCGGTTTCGTTTTAGCTGCAAATGCTACTCAAGTCTACATGCTGTGCTACAGTGTGTACATGCTAATGGTAAACAAGATGGTGCCATAGTGAATGCAGTCCCTGCTCCCAAGAAGGTCTGATGCTGGGAATTGGATGAACAAATTGGACTCAAATCTTCCAATAGAGTCAGAGTCAGATAGCACAGACAGAGATCCTTCGGCCCACTAGGTCTATACCAACAAACCAAACACCAAACTACACTAATCTCATTTAGCTGCACTTGGTCCCTGGCATTTTAAGTACTCATCCAGATGCTTCTTAAACATTGCGAGAGAACGTTTCTCCACCACCCTCTGAGGTAGCACATTCCATATTTTTACCACCCTCTGGGTGAAAAAATTTTTTCAGAGATTCCCTCTAGTCATAGAATCATAATCATACAGCACAGAAACAGACCCTTTGGTCCAGTCAGTCCATGCTGACCATAATCGCAAACAAACTAGTCCCACCTGCCTGCTCCTGGCCCCTATCCCTCCAAGCATATCTTATTCATGTACTTATCAAAGTGTCTTTTCGATGTTGTAACTGTACCTGCAATCCACCACTTCCTCTGGAAGTTCATTCCACACACCAATCATTGTCTAGTGTAAAATGGTTGCCACTCACATCTTTAAAATCTTTCTCCTCTCACCTTAAAAATATGCCCCCTCGTCTTGAAATTCCCCACCCAAGGGAAAAAACATCTGCCATTCACCTTATCTATACCCCTCATGATTTTATAAACCTCTAAGGTCACTCCTCAGCCTCTGACACTCCAGTGAACAAAGTCCCAGCCTATCCAGACATTCCTTATAACTCAAACCCTCCATTCCCAGCAACATCCTGGTAAATTTCTTCCGAATTCTCTCCAGCTCAATAATGTACATCCAATAACAGGACGACCAGACCGGACACATTACAAGCCACTTGCTCCTCATCTTAAACTTACACCCTCTGGTCTTAGACATGTGTGCCATGGGGAACACATTCTCATGATCTACAGTTGATGCCCCTCATCATTTTGCATATCTCAATCAGACATCTCCTCAGCCTCCCCTGCTCCAATGAAAACAAACCCAGCCTATCCAGTCTGTCCTCATAACTGAGACTTTTCATCCCAAACAACATCCTGTTGAAACTCCTGAGCACATTGTTTCATGCAATCATGTCTTTCCAATAGTATGGCAACCAGAAACGCACGCAGTATTCCATCTGTGGCCTAACCAATGTTGTAATAAGACTTCTTTGCTCCTATATTTTATGGTCTGGCCAGTAAAGACAAGCATCCCATATGCCTTCTTCTTTACTCTGTCTACCCATGCTGATGCCTTCATAGATTTATGGACTTGTACAGCAAGGGTCCTTTATTCCTCAGTACTCCCTAGGGAGTTACCATTCATTTGAGTGTATCCTTCCCATATTGGACCTCCCAAAAGGCATCACTTCTCACTTATCAGGATTAAATTCCATTTGTCATTGCTGTGCCCAATTTACCAGCTGATCAATATCAGACTGCAGCCTCAGACCATCCTCCTTACTAATCAACACCACCACCAATTTCCATGTCATCTGCAAATTTACTAGTTATACTTTCTGTATTCACATCCGAGTTGTTAATGTGCATAACAGACAGCAAGGGTCCCTGTGGTACCGCTGGTCACAGCTTTCAATCACAAAAACATCCCTGCACTATCGCCCATTTCCTACTGTTTGTAAGCCAATTTTGGATCCAGTTTGCCAACTTGCCTTGGATCCCATGGGCTGTCACCTTTTGGACCAGCCTTCCATATGGGACCTTGTCAAAGGCATTATTGAAGCCCATGAAAACTACATTAATACACTATATATTTAGCCATCTCGACAAAAAACTCAATTAAATTAGTCAGACAGAATCTCCCTTTAACGAATCCATGCTGGCTACCAACGATCAATCCCTGCCTTTCCAAGTGTTGATTAATCCTGTTCCTCAGATTTTTTTTCCCCAATAATTCCCTTACCACTGACATCAGACTGACCGTCTTTGTTCCTTCTGATATATTTTCCCTCTCCAGCACTCTCCATTCCCAGATACCTAATTTAATTTGAAATAAGATTTTTGAGTGGAAAGTGGAACTATTTAAAGCATTTTTGACATGCTTTGGGTTTGATTCTTGTAAATTAAGAGAAAATTATTTTATTTCACATTAAAATCTCATGTTCTACCACGGGGAGCAAAACATCAAAGCTCGACAGGAACATCAGTTCCCTTAACTGCCATTTTCTACTGAAATAATAGGACATTTTAGTTTAGAAAAGGGTTATATTTTAATACAAATACTTTGATCAAAGGGTAAGCAGCAGAGCAAAACAAAACCTAAATCTGATCTTGTGAGGAGCAGCTATTTGTAAACGGAACCCAAGCTCTGGAATTCCTCTCAAAACTTCTCTTTACCTTTTACGTTACAGTTTGAAACCTTCATCTTTGACCAAATGTTTGATTAGCTGTAATCACAGGATCATAAAATTACTAGGATGCAGAAGGAGACTATCAGTCCATTGTGTCTACACTGGCTCTCTAAACATTTTAAGTTGGTGCCATTTGCATGTTTTTACCCCATAACCCCACACACTGTTTCTAACTGAACACCCGTGCAATGTCCTTTTGAATGCCCGAAATGAACCTGCGTCCATCACATTTCCAGGCAGTTCTTTCCAGACCCCAATTATTTGCTGTGTGAAAAAGGTTTTCTCACTTCGCATTTGCTTCTTTTGTAAAACTATACGCTCTGGTTCTCGATCTCTTCATGAATGGAAACAGTTTCTCAGTATCTAGATCTAGACTCCTCTTGATTTTGAACACTTCTGTCAAATCTCCTCCTAGCTTTCTCTCTGCCAAGTAAAACTTCGATCTTTCCTCATAACTGAAGTATTTCATCCCTGCAACTAATCTTGTAAATCTCTTCTGAATTCTTTTCACTGCATTCACATCCATCCTACAGTGTGGCACCCCAGAACTGTACATAACACTGAGGTCTAACCAGTGTCCAATGTAAATTTATCATAACCTCTTTGCTCTTGTATTCAATATATGCTGAGACTACTGTATCCTTTATTAACAGCTCTCTCTACCTGTCCTGCCATCTGTCAGCTTCTGCTCACCCTTTAGAATAGTACTTTTTATTTTATACAATCTCTCCATGTTCTTTGTATTAAAATGTATCACCTCACATCTCCTTGCGTAAAACCTTACCTGCCACATGTCCACCCACTCCAGCAACTTGTCACTATCCTTTTGAAGTTCTATAGTGATTGGATAGGAAATAAATAACTCCTCCCTCAGATTTCAGGGATCGAATTAGAAATGATGAAACACAGAAAACAAACAAACATAGTCATATCTATAATTTTACACAGTGTTGCAACATAGAATATTTGTGTCCGCTACTGTTGGGAAGGTTAAAAAACCCAAGTTCAACCTACTGAATCAGACATGTTGCCACAAGGCTGGGCTCCTTAACTGGAAAAAACAATAACCACCCTCTATTTCTCTCAAAGATTCATTAGGACCTTACAAAATCCTGCTCAACCACAGATTGGTGGGTTAGGCTAGGGTATGAACTATTCCATTTCTTTCATGGGATGTGGGTGTCAGCAGCATAGCTGGCACATGTTGCCCATCTCTAATTGCCATTGAACTGAGTGGCTTACAGGGCCATTTAAATAGGGTGGTTAAGAATCAACAACACTGCTGTAGGTCTGAAGTCACATGTAGACCAGACCAGGTAAAGATGGCAGGTGTCCTTCCGGGGAGGGAACCAGATGAGTTTTTACAACAAAAAACAATGGATTTCAATGTCGCTGTTTTGTGACATGGCGGTGCTGTGGTGAGATTTGATCCCAAGTCTCCAATGCCTGTGGACATTACCACTACACCATTGACAAACTCTAGCCCCAAATTCCATGCTAACACTTTATAATCCCATTTCACCAAGAAATTATTGGCGTGACCTTAGAATCGAATTGCTGCCAACTGAATTGTTACCATTTATTTCTCAGAGTATCTGTAACCAGTTCCATAAAGAAAACTGTTCATACCAGATGAAACAATCAATCATTTTTCTTGCCAGTTATGTACCGTGCATGTACAAGAAGCAAAACAGTTACAGACATGTTGTGTACTGTCCCTACCAAGTGCAACAGTTCAAGAAAGTGCACTCTCTCAAGGGCAACTAGAATTAGGCAATAATGTTGGCCTTTCCAGCATCACACACCCTAGGAATGGATTTTGTAAAAGCATTAACTTTACAAAATTAAACAGAGGCAAGAAAGTAAAATTTTAGTTTGTGATATTGTTTGGCAAGTGGGTCATCCCTTATTTAAAACAAAAAACTTCCATTCCAATTTGCATAAATATTGGCCAATGCAGCAGGGAGAACTCCCCTTCCTTTCAGATGGTGCCATTGGATTTGTTTATCCACCAAACCGACTCATTGTACATGTTTCATTTGAATGCAAAAATGCAGCATTCCTTCAGTTCTGCACTGGAGTGGCAAAAACGCTGATCACATACCCAGCTTCCAAGCAACGTCTTCCAGTAGGGAAGAATTCTTATGCCTATAAGCAGCAACAACATCACAACTTTTCCACAACTCCCATTTTTCCTGATCCATTAAACACAAGCATGCAGTAAAATACGTCAAAATGGAACCGTAGCATGTAAATAAAGATGATATTGCCATTAAAATAAACCTTTCATTTGAACTTGGCTGAGGCTTTGCTATAATGCAGTCTCCAGTACAGAATCTATGGACCCAGAGATTAATACAGCCCGCCGAAGACCCATATCTCAGTAAAATACACATTCATCATAGCAGAAACTACCTGAGCCAACGTACATTGTACTACGATCTGAATATTCAAATACAATGATCCACACAAACAGTTCTATGAAGTGGCCTTGTCAACCCGTTGAACGTACGTTCTAGAGATAACAATATTCGACATTTCGCTGTCTCACCACTTCCCACCCATTTACAATATGGTAATAACGAATAAAATTAGAAGAATATTGAACGCAACTATGCCCCCAACAGCTTCCTGGAGATGCATTTTTAAATCCTGGGGATTCTAGGATATTCCTGGAGGGTTGGCAACCTTTATCACTGTCGGGGCTGATTCCAGCCTGAACTGCTAAATCTTAAGTGAAATGTAAGCAAAAGATTGTAATCTGTAATTCTTCAGTAATTGCAATTAAATCTTGTAATGTGCCACGAATCCTCAGAACGTGATTCTGGGATATTCCGCCTGAAGACGAGGAGTGATTAAATAGAGATAGACAAAGTCTCCTCCCACTGCTAAGTCCTTGAGTGTGCGAGGACAGCTTTGACCCACTGGAGTCTTCAGCTCGTACTGATGTGATCAATTCCCCGTCTCCAATCCTGAATACTCACCTCGTTCCCGTCGTCCAGGCATCTCCACTCGGCTGTTTCGTGTCTCTTCCAATGCTACTCTCCTCTTCCGCTTCCCGCAGCTCACTTAAAGCAAGCCACCCAATTCTCTCTCTTTCACTTTAGGCATTTATCGTCGTAGGACCTAAATACCTTGCACCTGCGCAAAGTTAGTTACGAATTATGTATTGTACAAAATAGTCAATGCAGAAAATAATAATATGCAGTGTACAACATCAATGTCTCTAGTACATTTTATATAAGACAAATAATCTACAAAAGAACCTCTAAATTCAAACACAATAACGGATAGTCAAAATGCTCACCCTGCTGTCTCGAAATGGAAATCGCTCAATTCTAGAAATAATTGAGTGTGGGTACATGTGGAGAGTCTGGGATATGGAATACCACTGGGATATAACGTGGTAAACTACTGTTTCCCACAGACAGGCCAGGAACAATTGAAGTATTCAGTTTTTTTTTATCACGTTTTAGACCTTTCTAACATGCTTTGCATGCAGTGATTTTACGCCGAGAGCTATCGCACAAAATGCCCCAAAGTGCTTCATGGCCAATTAATTATATTTCAATTGTTGTTTTTATTGTAACATAAAATAAGCTAATTTATATATGGAAAAGTCTGACATTGAGCTTTGAGATAAATGATTAGATAATCTGTTTGTGATACTGATTGAGGGATAAACAGTAGCCAGCAAAACAGGAGTATCCCCCTGCTGTTCTTTGCAAAGTGTTGTGGGGTCTTTTGCGTTTACCCAAATGGGTAGACAGGGTCTAAAATTTATTTAACATGGTCACCCAACATAGCAACACTTTCTCAGTACTGTACTGAAGTGTCAACCTCAATTACATAGAATCGAAATGCAGAAATTGACCATTCCATTCAACAGGTTTTGCCAATATTTATAATGTGCGGGGGTATCTTCCAACTGTAAATATATCTCAATATTCCACACCCATATGAGGTTGTTGACTTGCTCGCCAAGCTGAACGAGAACAAGCCAGCTCGGCGAGCAAGACAATAATCTCACCCACAACCCGAGCTACAGATCTTTGCCAAAGTTTTAAATCCACACCCATTTCGCTCTATTCTTATCTCCATTATATCTTCCCTTAAACCTAGTAAATCTAACTCTAACAACCACTGCATTTGGGAATGAATTTCACATTGACATTTCTTCTTGAGTTCACTGTTCAAAGGTATTGTCCTGCTTTTTTGTGCATAGGATGCACTTGGGTGTTTTTCCACTCTGTCGAGTATGTGTCAGTGTTGTAGTTGTTCCGTGGTTTCTTGACAGTTTCAAGCTTGCCGAGCATTGTTGGAACTTCACTCGTCAAGGCAAGGAGAGAGCATTCAATTAAATTCCCACCTTGTTGGCAGAGAACAGGCTTTGGGGGTCATGAGGTGATTTAATCGCTGCTAGAGTTCATAATTTCACAAACTAAATTATTTGTACAGTCGGTCCAGTTAAGGTTCTTATTAACGATAATTCCCAAGAATGCCGAGGGGAGGCTGGACTGAGAGAACCCTGGTATCTTACGAGCGTGTAACAGAAGGTGTAAAACTTGCCCTTTACGTCCTTTCCTCACTGTCCACGATCCCCGAAACATCTCCTCGTTGAAGCAGCATTTCACTTGTACTTCTTTCAATCTAGTCTACCATATTCGCAGTTCACAATGTTACATTGGTGAGATCAAATACAGACTGGCTTTGTAGAACACACTCCTTCTCTCCATAAAAATGAGTAATCTTCCAGTTGCTTGTCTTTTCAATAAACTATCTTGCTTCCATGCCAACATCTCCATTCTATAAATAAAGAACTGAGGGGGCTGGAAATCTAGAACATTACGGAAATTACTGCAAAAACTCACCAGGTCTTGCAGCATGTGTGGAGAGAAATCAGAGTTAATGTTTTGGATGCAGTGACGCTTCTTCAGAATTTCTGTTCTATGTCTGTTGTGGTGTTCTTGCAAAGTTTAATGCAAGCTGGAGAACCACCACTTCGCTCGACCTTTAAGTACCTTACAGCCTTCAGAACTCAGATGTTAAATTCAATAATTTCAGAGCATGAACACTGTCCTCAATGTTTATTTTGATTTCTCTCATCCTGCCGCAACATGTCTTGCTAATTTCTTGTTGGCTTCGCTCTCAACAGAACAGACCTGTTTTTCTCTAATTCAAACGAACCATTCATGTCCATTTTACATATAAAACTCTCCCTTGCTACGAGTAGCGTACCCTTTGTCTTTAGCTCCGGACTCCTTCACCATCTGTCGCACTTACTCATCCTTCCCACTTTGTCAAGAGTATTGAAATAATACGTTGTCGCTCGCTTCAAATCCGAAGAAGTCTTTGGACTCGAAAAGTTAATTTTGTTCCCTGTCCACGGATGCTGTCAGACCTGCTGAGATTCTCCAGCATTTTCTGATTTTTAAAAAAATTTCATTCTTTCGGATATTGAATTTCATTTCCTCATTTATTCAGCCACCTCTAAGTCTGTTTACATTTTTCTGTGTTTTGATGCAGCCCTTCACGTTATCTAAACCCACTCCTATATGATGTCAACCGATGTAAAATTTTGATACAATTCCTCCAATTTCTGGGTCTGAACTATGTGGACAATAATGCACCAGGTGCGACAGCTTCACATTTATCCGTCCAAGAGCCTTCCACTAGGTCCGAAGTTTTTCAAAAATACAACGGGTACTTACTTCTCCCCTCAAAATATCCGTGTTGACCAGTGTGTCACTTTGTCTAATTGTCTGTCCCTTTTGCTCTAAGTTTGCTATTTTTGTGCTTTGCGAATGGCTGATATCCGAATGCTGAGCTACTTGAGTTGGTTGTCACCGTGGGTAAAATTTGATGCCACGTTCAGTGAGTGGGCTCTAGGACAAACGTACTGCAAAGGTGCACCAAATGTTAACACTGTTTACGAAGAACCCACAGCCTGCTCTGGGAACAGAAATGTTAGGAGTGGTGCAATAGCAACATAAATGGCAAACGGATCGAAGATTGTGATTCTGGATTTACTGCTCGAAGTCAAAGAGATCAAAACATTTCATTCTTCATCAAGTGGACTTTAGTTATTTCTGTCTCTGATCTCTGCTACAAGGTTGTGTCTCCATCATCATACACTGATGGGGTGATGCTCTTCTGCTATCTATGATTTTAGTTGAATTTGAGACACTAGAAATCTGCGAACACCGGGATTGTAACAGTAGATGATGCGGCACAATAAAGTAATAAACGCCTCACTGTCCAAATTCCATCAATAATCACTCTGACAGCAAGAATATCCTAATGACCAATTCCACTCGCGCTCGCTCGCTGAAGGGAAGGGACGAGCAGCTCGGGCGGACCGATTGTTAGTGGGTGGTGCGGCAGACCGGCACATTTAGATGAATGAACGAGCGGACATATGTAGAAACGGACCAGATTCCTGGTTGTGAGTAGAATTTGCAGAGAGTGAAGTAAAGCAAGGGCTGAGCTGAAGGACGGTGGGTTTGGGGGTGGAACGATGGTGAACAGAACCCAGTTGGAGGATTGCATCGAGTCCAGGGAGGGTAGGATTGATGACGGAGTCTGGGTTTTCTAAACGTCAGTCTTCCTGCTCCTCTGATGCTGCTTGGCCTGCTGTGTTCATCCAGCTCTACACCTTGTTATCTCAGCCTCTCCAGCATCTGCAGTCCCTACTATCTCCGTAACAGTGAGGTTTTGTTTAACAACAATTCGGCACCTCGTTCATTGCCAGATCTTGTTGAATCAGTTTTACAGTTTGCCTTAAGAACATTTGAATTGGGAGCAGGCTTCTTGGTCCCTGGAGCCTGCTCGCGCAATTGCATAAAATCGTGGTTAATCTGATTACTCCTCATTTCAGCCTGCCCCCAATAACTAACCCCACCCCCGTTTCCAAAGAATCTATCTACCTCAGCCTTAAAATATTAACAAAAATATCCACTTGTACCACCTCTGAGGAAGAAAGTTCCAAAAACGCATGAGGATATAAAATCTCCTAATTTATTTATTAAATGGGTGTTCTTTTAGTTTTAAACAACAACCCGGAGTTCTGGATTTTCCAACAAGAGGAAACATCCTTTATATCCTGTCAAGATCTCTCAGGATCTTGCATACTTCAAAGAAGTCACCTCTTCCTCATCCAAACTCTCCTGGATACCAGGACAACAAGGTGCAGGGCTGGATGAACACAGCAGGCCAAGCAGCATCATAGGAGCAGAGAGGCTGACGTTTCGGGCCTAGACCCTTCTCTGATTCAATTTTAACTACTATCTCTGATTCAATTTTAATTTCTCCAGCATCTGCAGTTCCTACTATCTCCTGGATACCAGCTGAGCTTGACCACTTTTTCTTAAAAGTCAACCTGTCCCTTTTGGGAATTAGTCAGTTAAATCTCTGAACTGCTTCCCATGCGTTTACTTACTATCTTAAATAAGAAAACAAATTCTGTACGCCACTCCAGATATGGTCTTATCAATGCTTGTTACAACTGAACCATAACCTCCATACTTTTATATTAAATTTCTCTTGCAATAAATTATAAAATTCTGTTACCATTGTTAATTACTTGCTGTTTCTGCATATTAACTTTTGTGATTCGTGCATTAGGACACAGGTTACTTTGCAACTCTGCAATTGCTCACCATTTAAATAATGTGCTTTTTTATTCTTCCCACAAAATGGACAATTTCCCTTATTGTCCTCAAGTTGTCACATACCCTCCTTTTTCACTTAACTTATTTACATGTATTAATATATACCTTACCTACATATGTAGCCTTTATATTTCATGTTTGCAACTTGCCTTCCTACCTTTCTTCGTATCATCAGCAAATTTAGCAACCATAATTTCAATCCCTTTATCTAAGTGACATATAAATTGTAAAAAGCTCAGCACTGATCCCTATGGCACGCTACTTGTTACATCTTGCCAAACAGGAAATGACCTACTTATGCCTACTCTTTCTTTCCTGTTAGCTGCTAAATCTACTAGTCTTGCCAATGTATTACCACCTACATCATGAATCTTTATTTTCTGCAATAACTTTTGGTGTGGCACCTTATCAAGTTCCTTCTGGAAATCAAAGTTCAGTACATCCACCTTTTATCCATGTCCTTTTTATCCAAAACAGCACATTTAATTTCTTTAAAGAATTCCAATAAATTGGTCAAATATGATATCTCTTTCACAAAACTATATTGACTCTTCCTAATTACCTTAAATGTTTTGAAATGCACTGCTATAATGTCTTTAATAATAGCTTGTAATATCTTCCCTATGATGAATGTTAAGCCAACTGGACTATCATTCAGTTACTAGTGGTGTACCTCAAGGATCTCAGTTACTAGTGGTGTACCTCAAGAATTTCAGTTACTAGTGGTGTACCTCAAGGATCTGTTTTGGGCCACTGCTGTTTGTCATTTTTATAAATGACCTGGATGAGGGCGTAGAAGGATGGGTTAGTAAATTTGCGGATGACACCAAAGTTGGTGGAGTTGTGGATAGTGCGGAAGGATGTTGCAGGTTACAGAGGGACATAGATAAGCTGCAGAACTGGGCTGAGAGGTGGCAAATGGAGTTTAATGCGGAAAAGTGTGAGGTGATTCACTTTGGAAGGAATAACAGGAATACAGAGTACTGGGCTAATGGTAAGATTCTTGGTAGTGTGGATGAGCAGAAAGATCTCGGTGTCCATGTGCATAGATCAATGAAATTTGCCACCCAGGTTGATAGCGTTGTTAAGAAGGCGTACAGTATGTTAGGTTTTATTGGTAGAGGGATTGAGTTTCGAAGCCATGAGGTCATGTTGCAGCTGTACAAAACTCTGGTGCGGCCGCACTTGGAGTATTGCGTACAGTTCTGGTCACCGCATTATAGGAAGGATGTGGAAGCATTGGAAAGGGTGCAGAGGAGATTTACCAGGATGTTGCCTGGTATGGAGGGAAGGTCTTATGAGGAAAGGCTGAGGGTCTTGAGGCTGTTTTCGTTAGAGAGAAGAAGGTTAAGAGGTGACTTGATAGAGACATACAAGATGATCAGAGGATTAGATAGGGTGGACAGTGGGAGCCTTTTTCCTCAGATGGTGATGGCTAGCACGAGGGGACATAGCTTTAAATTGAGGGGTGATAGATATAGGACAGATGTCAGAGATAGGTTCTTTACTCGGAGAGTAGTAAGGGCGTGGAATGCCCTGCCTGCAAAAATAGTAGACTCGCCCACTTTAAGGGCATTTAAATGGTCATTGGATAAACATATGGATGATAATGGAATAGTTTAGGTTAGATGGGCTTCAGATTGGTTTCACAGGTCGGCGCAACATGGAGGGCCGAAGGGCCTGTACTGCGCTGTAATGTTCTATGTTCTATGTTCTATCATTTCCTGCTTTCTGTCTCCACTTTTTTTTAAAAGGAATTGCATTTACTATTTTCCTATCTAATGGAGCCTTCGTCAAACTTTGGAAAACTAAAACCAACTATCCGAATGGCCACTTCTTCTCAGATCTGAGAATGAAGTGCATCAGGATAGGGACTTGTCATCCCTCAGCTCTGACAGTTTACTGAGTACCACTTCCCTGGTGATTGTAATTTCTGGAGTTCTTCCGTAACATTTCCAAATTAACAGTTATTTCTGGGATGTTACTGCTATCCTCTATAGTGGATACTGATGCAAAATACTGGTTTAATTCATCTGCCTTCTTATTTTCCATTATTAATTCTCCAGATTCAATTTCTATAGGACCAATGCTTACTTTGTTAACTATTTTCTTTTATAAATATCTTTAGAAACTCATTATCTGATCTTATATTTCTAGCTGGAGTTTTCTTGTGCTCTAATTTTTTCATCTTTATTAATTTGAGTTAACTTGATTTGAAGGTACAATCTCAGGATTCTAACCCAGGTCTGTGGCCACTATACTACTACATTGACAAAGGTCAGCATAGCAACGGTTAAGGGCTTGATGGTTGGCAGTTTTGGCAGTGAAGCTGAAATTCTTTTCTGTTACAGGTGACTGTTCAAGGCTAGCACAATGAATACAAGCCCGGGCACAGTTGGCAGTGACCCTGTCATCCTGGCCACTGCTGGTTACGATCACACTGTCCGCTTCTGGCAAGCACACAGCGGTATCTGCACTCGAACTGTGCAACATCAGGATTCTGTATCTGTGCCAGTTTGTATGTGATTATACCTGATTATTTCTGTGGTTCATGTACATAGACACCCAGGTCACTCTGAAGACCAAAAACGTCACAGTCTCACCTTTCAAAAAATAATCAGTGTCATTGAACTTTTCCTACCAAATTGTACTCGTTCAACTGTCTCTATCCCTCTACAGCCTTTTTATGTCTTCCACACTGCTAACTTTCCACTTAACTTGTACCATGTCCAGACTATGATACTTTGCATTCAGTTCCCTCCTCTAAGTTATTGATATAACTTGTAAAAAGCTCAGGCCTAAACATTAACCATATCTTTTTACAGTTGCCAACAGTAACGTATTTCTTCTATTCTTACCTACTCTTTCCTCTCTTTTAACCAATCTTTATCCAGTGCAAATATTGCCAATCCCTTGAGTCCTAAGTTTGTTGTAAAAGCTTTTGTGTGACAATTTATCAAATGTTTTTTGGAAGTCAAATACACTCTATACTCATAGGAATTTAGAAGAATATAGAAACAAAAAAAATTATGAAGGGAAAAGGTAAGATAGAAGCAGGGAGGTTGTTTCCACTAGCGGGTGAAACAAGAGCTAGGGAGCATAACTTCAAAATAAGGGGGAACAGATTTAGAACTGAGTTAAGGAGAAACTTCTTCACCTGAAGAATTGTGAATCTGTGGAATTCCCTGTCCAGTGAAGCAGTTGAGGCTACCTTGTTGAATGTTTTTAAGGCAAAGATAGATATAATTTTGAATAGTAAAGGAATTAATGGTTATGGTGAGCAGGCAGGTAAGTGGAACTGAGTCCACGAAAAGATCAGCCATGATCTTATTCAATGGTGGAGCTGGCTCGACGGGCCAGGTGGCCTCCTATTTCTTACATTCTTGTTTGCTAGATCTCCCTTATCCATCCTGCTTGTTACACCTTCAAAAAAATGCCATTGGATTTGTCAAAAGTAAATTTGCATTGACTCTGTTTAATCATACTATAATTTTCCAAGTACCCTGTTACCACATCCCTAATAATTGATTCTATGATTTTGTCTGCTACTAATGTAAGACTAAATGTCCTATCAATCCCCATTTTCTGCCTTTCTCCTTTTTTAAACAGCAAGGTTATGTTTGCTCCTGTCCAATCCTTAGGAATTCTTCTGGAATCTGTGGGGTTGTGGTAGACCAAATAGTTTTGGAAAACCAAGCATCCAAATTAAATATTTTTAAAAATCCTGTTTTGAGCAAGCATGAGCTTCTTCTGCCCTGTCCCTAGCAACTGTGGATCTACATGATTATCTTCCATAAAGGGACTGTGAGCGCACCTCAATTCACAATCTCCATAGTGAGTGAACTAGCCCACTCTACAATGCACTGTGGCAGATACGTCCCACTCCTAGAGTCATACAGCACGGAAACAAACCGTTCAATCCAACTAGTCTATGCTGAACAAGCTTCCCAAATTAAACTCGTCCCACTTGCTTGTGTTTGGCTCATATCCCTCTAAACCTTTCGTATTCATGTACCTGTCCAAATGTCTTTTAAATGTTGTAACTGTGCCTACATCTACCATTTCCTCTGCAGTTCATTCCACATAGCAACCACCGTCTGTGTGATAAAGTTTTCCTTCAGGTCCCTTTTAAATCTTTTCCTCTCATCTTAAAAATATGCCCTCTAGTTTTAAACTCCCCTATCTTAGGGAAATCATTTCTGAACCCCCTGCAATTTAATAATATCCTTCGTATAGGGGTGACCAGAACTGTATACAGTATTCCAAAAGTGGCCTCACCAACATTCTGTACAACCTCAACATGACGTCCCAACTCCTATACTTAGTGGTCCGAGCAACGAAGGCATGCGTGCTAAATGCCTTCTTAGCCACTCTGTCTACTTTTGATGGGACATTCAAAGAACTATGTAGCTGAATCCCATTTCACAACACTACCCAAGGCCCTACCATTAAGTATATAAATCCTGCCCTGATTTGCCTTACCAAAATGCAGTACCTTGCATTTATCCAAATTAAACTCAGTCTGCCACTCCTAAGCCCATTGGCCCAATTGATCAAGATCCCATTGTAATCTTAGATAACCTTCTTCACTGTCTGTTGTACCACCAATTTAGGTATCATCCGCAATCTTACTAACATGCCTCCTAAATCCTCATCTAAATCCTACCTCTTGACTCACACCAAACCTGCTTCCAGTTGTTCATCATTCATATGCTGTTCAACTTAATGTACAATCCCTGAAAAGTCTATGCATCCCCAGAGGTCTATGGATCACAATTGTAAGATATTAATTTAGATAGAAATGTGAATGAGTATCACCTTGTTGCATAAACAGTATGTGTACATCAGCATTCAGATAAACAGCAGTTTAATAAGTTACACAGTTGATGGCACCTACCCTGCTTATACCATTATACAAGGATATGCAGTGGTTGATGCAGCATACTTTTAATGGACAGCAAACATTATGCCTGTATTTTATGAAATGTCAGGAATATGCAGAATTCAGGATTTGTTACAGGAAGTCCCATAAACATTTATATTATGTATGGCTTCTTCATGACAAGCTTCTTCATGACCATTTATTGTGTAGAGTGAACGAGCATCACTGACTGCACATGTATGCATTCAAAATCACCAGTGAAATCTTCAGTGTTTTATTGAAGATCCAGCTAGGAGCTAAGTTTGCAAATGACTGTAAATTCCTCTTTCATTTATTCTGCTTCCTTAACGAAGTTTCCAGCAAGTGAATGCCTTAGAAATCACCCCAGACCGCAGTATGATTGCAGCAGCAGGTAAGCAGAGTTTATACTGTATTCTTCATGGTTTTTAGCCAGCCCTGTGGTAATGACCCTTGCACCTAACTCCATACTGGGAAATGTGCAATAATTGAATTCCTTATCAATAGTGAAAATATAATCATTGTTTGAAATACAACTTGTGTTTAGTTGAAGTGAAATTAGTAACTGATGCACACATTACTCTTAACATCAGGTATTCTTACATCCATAGTTTTGCTTCCCCATGGGTGAGAGAAGGAAAGGAGGGATGCCTTTCTCAATCTCTGTTCTTATTCAAGGCTTATCAATTATTGTACTCGTGCCCAAGGCACTTAATTTTCCTGAAAGGTGGAAATGAATGGCATTATTTCCCCACCGGGCCTGATGCATCATGTTTTGTGCCCACTTTCTTGAAGAACAAGAGCTTCGTTTTTGACCATGTCTCTGCACAGTCTTATAACACAGACTATGATTTGAACCATGTTATGTGATGTAAAATGTGCACACATTGCAGGCGCCACCTGGTAAAGTTACTTTTCTGGTCCACCTTGTAGGGTATCAGCATATCCGAATGTATGACCTAAATTCCAACAACCCGAACCCAGTCATCAATTATGATGGAGTCAGCAAAAACATCACCTCAGTGGGATTCCATGAGGATGGGCGCTGGATGTATACTGGCGGGGAGGACTGCATGGCACGAATCTGGGACCTCAGGTAATTATATGAGACAAACAACAAATTGTCAGCTGTGGTCCATTCAGGAGCATTCTCAGATTTAAGCCAGAAAGTTGTGCATTAAAGTACCACTCCAGAGACTTGAGCACATAATCTTTGCTGACGATGTTGTCGACATTTAGCACCTTTGGAATTGCTGTCTTTTCAATGCAACATTAAATATATGCCTTGTTTGCTGTCTTGGGTGTATGTGAAAGCCTCCATTGTATTGTTCTGAAGAGGAACAGTGCATTTCTTTTCAGTATTCTGCGGACTATTTATCCTTTGTTAATTTTAGGGGTTCATAATTACAGTTACCCGATATAGGTAGTTGACAATTTGCAAGTAATTATTAGATAGTTTATTCAGATTATTAAGAAACGGCAGCTTAGATATGATACATTAGCTAATTAGTTAAAGCGAGTATGCAACGATGATAACCGGGGTGGCTCACAAATACCAGAGAACAAACACACTTTTGGCGCAGAATGTGTCAGTCTCATTTAGTTTGTGAAGGCATCATCCTGCTGTCCAGCCAAAATGTTAGGGAACTCTTCTCTGGGTCTTTATCCTTCTCTTCTGATCCATTTTCTATCTGGAGAAGACAGCTCCCTGATGAGGACTGCTGCTTACAAGGCCTGCCCAATGAGGACTGCCCTCTGCCCCTGAGCACTTTTATTTCTAGGTGATGGTAGTTTACGCTATGTCACTGAATTGTCTGAATCCGTTTGGTCAATAACCAAGGGGCAGCTACGCATGACATTGGATAACTTTGTCTCCTTGCTCACCTCCATCTGAAAGTTAGTTTTTGTTCCTTCCAAGAACAAAATCATTTTATTTTCAAAAACATAGATAGAAGGCTATTTACCACTGTAATACAGTTAAATGAGTTAAAATGCAGAAGAAAGGCAGGCTAATACAAAAGGTGAATTACAGAAAGTTGGTTGAGAGATGGGCAAGACTGGCAGCTTAACATTCTGAGATTTAGATGTTTCTGGGGTGTGGTAGAGAGGGATGTAAAAGAGGTGGGGGTGTTGCTTTACTGATTAGAGAGAATATCACAGTTGAACTGAGGGAGGACACCTTGGAGGGCTTATTCAGCATGGCCATAGGGGTAGAGTTCAGGAATAGGAAGGGTGCAGTCACTTTGATGGGATTGTATTACAGGCCTCGCAACAGCCATCGATTGATAGAGGAACAAATATGTGGACAGATTATGGGAAAATTTAAAAACAACAGGGTTGATGTGGTGGGGATTTTAACTTCCCCTATATTGACTGGGACTCGCTTAGTGTGAAGGATTTGGATGGGGAAGAATTTGTTAGGTGTGTCCAAGACAAGTTTTTTGTAACAATATGTAAATAGTCCTACTAGGGAAGGGGCCACCTTAGACCTGATATTGGGGAATGAGGCTACATAGGTGATCGAAGTTTCAGTGGGAAAGCATTTTGGGAACAGTGACCATAATTCTGTAAGTTTTGAATTACTCACGGATAAGGGTAAAAGTCGTCCTCGGGTGAAAGTGGTAAATTGGAGGAAGGCTAATTACAACAATATTAAGCAAAAACTGGGGAATGTAGACTGAGGGTAGCTGTTTCAGGGTAAATCCACATCTGTCATGTGAGAATCTTCTAAAGGCCAGTTGATTAGAGTTCAGGTTCAGCATGTTTCTGTGAAAATGAAGAATAAGGATGGCAAGGTTCGGGAATCTTGGATGACAAAAGGAATTGAAAGCTTAGTCAAAAATAGAAAGGAGGCATACATAAAGTTTAGAAAACGGAAGAAGTACGGACCCCTCGAAGAATACAAAGATAGCAGGAAATAACTCAACAAAGAATTAGATTGGCTAAAAGGGACCATGAAATGCCTTTGCCGGATGGGATTTTCCGTAATCCTATAACAGTTTGTTCATATGTAAGGGAAAGGGTAGGTCCACTCAAAGACAAAGGAGGGAATTTATATGTGGAGCCAGAGGAAGTGGGTGAGGTCCTTAACGAACACGTTGCATCAGTATTCACAAAGGAGAAGGGCATGCTGGATGATGAATCTCAGGATTGCTGTGTTGATATTGTGGGCATTTCAAGAAACAAAAGGAGGTATTGGGTGTTTTAAAAAGCATTAGGTAGGCAAGTCCCCAGGACCTGATGGGATCTATCCCAGAATGGTGAGGGAGGCAGGTGAGGAAGTTGCTGGGACCCTTGACGAAATCTCTGTATGCTCTTTAATCACAGGAGAGATCCCATAGGACTGGAAAATAGCCAGTGTTGTTCGTTTGTTTAAGAAATGCAACAGGGATAATCCAGGAAGTTACAGGCCAGTGAGCCTTACGTCAGCAGTAGGGAGATTATTGAAGAAGATTCTTAAGCATAGGATTTACTCACATTTGAAAAGTATGGACTTATTAGCGATAGGCAGCATGGCTTTGTGTGAGGAAGGTCGTGTCATGAGTTTTTTGAGCAAGTGACAAAGTTAATTGATGAGGGCAGGGTGGTAGATGTTGTCTATATGGACTTTAATACGGCCTTTTGGTAGTGTCCACCAAGGCATGCTGATACAAACGGTGAAGTCTAATGGGATCTGTGGTGTGCTGGCAAGATGGTTACAGAAGAGAGAGTGATGGTGGGAAGGGTAGAGACTTGGGCAGCGAAATGACAGATAGAGTTTAATCCAGATGAATGCGAGGTGATGCATTTTGGGAAAGGTCTAATGCATGGGAATAGTATACAATAAATGGCAGACCCTCAGTAGCATCAACATACAGGGAGATCTAGGCCTACAGATCCACAATTCCCTGAAAGTGCCAGCACAAGTGGATAACATGGTCAAGGAGGCATATAATATGCTTGTCTTCATCGATTGGGACATAGAGTGTAAAAATTGGCAAGTCATGTTGCAGCTGTTTAGAACATCAGCAGCATGCTGGCTCAGTGGTTCGCACTACTGTCTCACAGAGCCAAGGACCTGGGTTCGATTCCAACATTGGGTGACTGTCAGTGTGGAGTTTGCACCATCTCCCTGTGTCTGTGTGGGTTTCCTCCCACAGTCCAAAGATGTGCAGGCTAGTTGGATTCGCCATGCTAAATTGCCCATAGTGTTCAGGGATGTGTAGATTAGGTGGGTTTTAGGGGGATGGGTGTGGACTTGTTGGACCGAAGGGCCTGTTTCCACACTGTAAGGATTCTGTGATGATCTATGATAGTCAAAGAGGAGGAGCAATTGGAGAGGCTTAGGATGCAGGCAGCTGAAGGTGTAGCCACTAACAGTGGAGTAGCTGAAACTATACATGTGTAAGGGGCCAGAATGAGAGGAGCACAGATACCATGGAGGGTTGTGGGATTATAGAACTGTATAAAGATACATGGGAGTGAGGTAATTAAGGGATTCAAGAGTGGACAGACTGTATCTTTTATTTTTCTGTATTTTTATTGTGGACTTAAATGAGAAAAGAACAGTTTTAAAAATCAAGGATTACTGAAGGATTTTGCACATTCCAAAGATATGCAAGTTGGGCAGATTTGAAATAAAATGTCCTTAGTGTATAGTCTAGGTGGATTAGACATGGAAGTGGGGGGATACAGTAGGGGGCTGGGTCTGAGTGGAAAGCTCTTCGGAGGGTTGGTGTGGACTCAATGGGCCAAATGGCCTCCTTGCATACTGTAGAGGTTCTATGAATTCTCTACATACAATTACAAAATGGCTTGGACAATGCTGAATGGGCAGAGTCAGTATGACTTTGGGGCAGCATGGTGGCTCAGTGGTTAGCACTGCTGCCTCACAGCGTCAGGGACCCGGGTTCAATTCCACCCTCAGGCAACTGTCTGTATGGAGTTTCCACGTTCTCCCCGTGTCTGCATGGGTTTCCTCTAGGTGCTCCGGTTTCCTCCCGCAGTCCAAAGATGTGCAGGCTAGGTGGATTAGAATTGCTAAATTATGCATAGCGTTCAGGGATGTGTAGATTAGGTGGTTATAGGGGGATGGGTTTGGGTGCTAAGCTCTGAGGGTCAGTGTGGACTTGTTGGACCAAAGGGCCTGTTTCCACACTGTAGAGATTCTATGATCTATGAACTTTAGTTACGCCACATTTGGACTAATGTGTACAGTCTGGTCGCCACACTGCAAGAAGGATGTGGAGGCTCTGAAGAGGGTACAGAAATGGATTACCAGGGTATTGTCTGGTTTGGAGGGTATTAGCTATGGGGAGAGATTGGATAAACTGTGTCTGTTTTCTCTTGAACTACGAAGGATGAGGAAGCAACTTGATAGGAGTTTAACATTAAAAGAATGGATATTCGGAGTTTTTTCCCCAGGGTAGTAATGTCAGTTACTAGAAGACGTAGGTTTTAGGTAAAAGTGGGCAAGTTTTTTATACAGAGGACGGTAAGTGTCTGGAATGTGCTGTGAGAGGAGGTGCTGGAGGCAGATACGTTAGCAACATTTAAGAGGCATCTTGTCAGACGTATGAACAAACAGGGAATAGAGGGATACAGACCACATCTTGACAGATATATGAATAGGCTGCACTGTTCTTTGTTGATCCAAAGCATTTCACAAGTGAAGTATTCTAATTTGAAAAATGTAACAACTAATTTACAAACAAATAGCAATGCGTTAATAACGACATCACTTTTTTACTTACTGATGTGATTTGGATATCAATGTTGGCCCAGATGCCAGGGAGAACTCTTCCTCAGATATTACCATGGGACATTTTATGATCACTCGAGACTAGAATTGGCCTTGGGTTAATATGACACCTCCAACAGTGCAGAGCTCCCTTAGTATTGCATTGGACTATCTGCCTAGATGTTTATTCAAGATACTGAAGTGGAGCTTGAACCCATAACCTCTATAAGTCTGTGTCACAGGCATGGATATTGATTATTCTTCTATTCATACTTGAATTCTGAAGCTGGGCCTAATCTCTAAGCAGACATGTACGACAGATGGCAGAATGTTCAGGTGCTTCATATTTGTGCACATTATGTCACAGGCATGTGTTTAAATAGACAATTTTACTCAACATACAAACAACTTAAGCTAAGGAATCGTTTTGCAATCTTATCACAGTCCTTCTTAACATTGTGTATTTACCTGATGTCCTATCATGACCATAACAATCCACAGAAGCAATGACCATTTCAAGGTCTTGTAAGTAAGCAGTGAAGAGCTTTTTCCAAACATTGAAATATTTGAATTCTGCCACAGAGCTAAGAAAGTGGAATATATCACCTGTCCACAATATTTAAATAAGGCAGAAGGAGTGCTCATTTATAAATCAAAGAAAGCACTGAAGTGCATAATCAGTAAGATGTGGGTTTGTGGCTATAACTGACACTACTATTCCCATAAATCACATCATAAGTAGATTGACCTCTTTCATCCCACAAACTCATTATTTATTTTAAATCTGTTACGATGCCCTGGAAAATAGATTTTAACTTGCAAGGGGATACAGGTGTATGTGTATTCAGGGAAGGTGTTAAAGAAGAAGAAATTGCCATGACCTGACATTAACCTACCCACTGCTGTCTTTAACTCATGTGCAATTTGAGGTGGATCTGTGATTTAGATATAGAGATCTGAAGATTTAACTTTCTTCTGACTTTAACTTGGTTTCCTGGGATGTCTGAAACTTGTCAGGATCCACAAGTTAGGGAGTATAATGGAGATTGATGAACCTGGGAAATTAACTTATGGAAATCTTTTACATACTGAACCAAAACAGCTGCTTCTTTATGTCGTTTGGCAGCACAGAACTTGACTATTTCTGAATAAAGATTCACTTTGTTGAAGGGATAGTAAGAACTGCAGATGCTGGAGTCAGAGATAACACAGTGTGGAGCTGGAGGAACACAGCAGGCCAGGCAGCATCAGAGGAGCAGGAAAGCTGACGTTTCGGGTCAGGACCATTTCTTTCTGAAGAAGGGTCCTGACCTGAAACGTCAAATTTCATGCTTCATTTTGTTGAAGCTTTTCTTCTTGCGCTTGTCAGGTTAATTTGCAATAATATAATTTAAGGGGAAACCAACATTTATACTGTACAAGAGGAGAGTACTGATTGATCGGCAAGTGAAATTTGACTGATACAGATATAGAGAATGGCCCAGTTAATAACAGCCAGGTTTTGTTAACATTTTAAACTAAACAGGTTGACTTTGTTTGGTCAAAACTTTGCCCTGAGCAATGATCTATTGAATGGCTGGGCAATTCAAGATATGCAGGGTAATGAGGCAAACTTGGATCTCACCTGAACATAAAGAGGAGCAACACCAGGAATGGCAGCTATCTTTGACTCAGCAACCTGACACTTCACAGGGCAGGATGACCACAGAGCTCCAGTCCACAGGAGACAGTTTCCTAATGGGGTATTTTGTAACTTTCAGGACATGATTTAACAGTTATCCTCTGGAAGCACAGAATTTATTGGCAGAATTTCATGGGATGAGGGTGTTACTGGCAAGTAACAGCGTTCATAATTCCAAGTCAGAATGGTAGGTCACTTGGAAGGGCTGTTGCAGTGGTGGTGTTTCCATGTGTGTACTACCCTTGGTCCTTCTAGACATTGAGGCAGCCTGTTTAAAAGAAGATTTGCTGAGCAGATGCCGTGCACATTGCACATCCATACAAAGAATGTGATTGTTGCTCACATCTGCATTGTTCTGGAAGATTTCCTGTCCAGTGAATCATGTAGGCACATTTTGCTGGTTGTGGTCAAGATGCCAGATTTCTTTGTCTTCAGCGTCTTCCAGGAAATAGCTGGTAACATCTGAAGGATTTTACAATCTGTGCTGCAACAGAATATCTTCCAGGCTACTGCCATGTTTGCAAAGTCTGCCACTTATGTCCGTTTTTGCATCTTAGAATGACAGTCGGAACAAGAGGGTCCTTGTATTAAATGCAGTGACTGGATTCCTACAAGTGCAGACAGTCAGATTACACCCGTGAGGCATTCCAGGCTTCATCAAATAAACCAGGAGTATTTAGGAGTAAAGAAGGATTCCATTCCAATATTGTTTAACTGTTCTATAGAGGATAATCATGCATATCTGTGTAAAACATTTAGGAAGTTGCCGTTGATACATTCATTCTGCATCAGTTAGGTCCCTCGCAGATCTTCCAAACTCCAAGCAGATTTAACAGATGGCTAATTTGAGACAAGGAATAACCTTATCAGATATTGCTGGTGATGCCCGTGAGGATGTTTAATTGTTCATTAATGCACAGGAAAGATATAACAGAAGCCACATGAACATAAAGATGGTTATTGTGTAAGTAGTTAGACTGTTAAAATGTGATTGAGTTGCCTGGACAGATATTGAACACCTTTTAGTATACACTAACATGTATCAAATTATAGTGATCTGATATACTTTGAAAAACATGGCATAGCAGAAAGGATTGGAGCTGCAGAAGACAAATCTGATGACATTGCTTATCTTTGGAGTCAAACCATTGAATCTATTTTTATTTCAATCTTGAATCTCCAAATCTATTCACCATGATTTTTCAAGCACATGCAACCTTTCAAGGTCTCTACACTCCTTATTTATGTAACTTCCTCCAGCTCCACAGCATACCAAGGTTTCTGCATTTCTGTAATTCTTATCTTCTTGTGCATCTCAAGGGTAATTAGGGATGGGCAATAAATACTACCTGGACACAGACCATCATATTTCTGAATGAACAAATAAAAAAATTCATCCCACCATGTGCCTTCAGTTGTCTGAGCCCTGAGCTTTGAAATCCCCCCTCTAAACATGTTTGCCTCAGTTTGCTCCTTTAACATGCACTCCTTAAAACCTACCTCTTTCGTTAAACTTTTTATTGCTGCCTTATGACTCCTTATATGTCTCAACATCATAGTTGATGATTTCAATTTGATGATTTGATTTATTGTAGTCACATGTACCTAAGTGCAGTGAACAGCTTTGTTTGCAAGTAGTGCAGCAGATCATAGGGTGCTTAGACAGAGTGAGGCATACAGGTTATACTGCACAGGAGGTGCGCAAAGCAAGAGCAACATTAACAAGATCAACATTATTTGAAGTTAGGGAGTCCATTCATCAGCCTAATAATGGCAGGGAAGAAGCTGTTGTTTGAATCTGTTGGTGCATGAGTTCAAGCTTCCTGTACATTCTGCCTGATGGAAGGGATTGTAGGAGAGCATTACCAGGGTGGGATGGATCTTTGATGATGTTGGCAGCCTTTCCACAGCAACAAGAAGTGTAACTGTCATCCATGGCTGGGAGGTTGGCTTCCGTAATGGTTTGGGCTGTGCACACAACCTTCTGTTTCATTTTATACTGCTGTTCCAAAGTGTCTTAGGAAGTTTTATTACATTAAAGATGCTAGATAAATTCAAGTTTTTCTCCATCTGAAACTTTCTCTCTCAACAGGTCACGTAACCTGCAGTGTCAGAGAATCTTCCAGGTCAATGCTCCTATTAATTGTGTCTGCCTGCATCCCAATCAGGTAAGGGGCAACACTGCACCCCCAAAACTGCAGACAGACTTTGTCTGTCAACCCACCCTGAGAAGCTGTGTGTGGTTTGTAATGGAGACATGCAAAGAGTTGAAGCTGGAAGTCTTATCTTTCAGTTTAGCCACAGTATGCATTTCCTGCCAGTGTGTGGCACTGCTGCACTCTGCAAAGTCTCTTTGTAATTTGCTGGTACTGACTGGGCTGGTGATCTGATCCAGTCTGACTTAAACTGTTTTGTCCGAGTAGCTCCTAACCTACAAAATCAGCTAAAGCATTGAATGTTTCTGTTGTGAAAATCAAGAATTTAGATAGGATAATAATAGTTATGGTGTTACATCAAAGATTTTCAGTGCTGGACACTGTACATGTGTTGAAGAAAGTAGTAACTATTTCAGATCAGCAAAAATGACTGATAAGTGCAACCTAATTGAAGTCAGCCTTTAAACATGAGCAAATGAAGCAAAAGGATGGAGGTTGTTATGATCCATGACACGACCACCGAATTTATGTTGCAAATTGGCTAGGGAAGAGTAAAGTTTTTGTTTAAAGTAGACAAAGCGTGAAATTCCAAGTACTTATGAAGAGAATCAAGTCACCACTTTCAAGGATTTTGAATAAACAAAATAACATTTATTACACAAAGCTAGATAGTGGAACAGTTTGATTTTTTAAATACAGAATTTATACTCTTAAATTATTCAGAAATAACAAGATAACTATGGATTTTGTACAAACTGTGGTTGAATACCCATAGAGCACATCAAAGATGCAGACCTTTCAAGACACATCCCAGTTTTCTCTGTAATCCTCCCAAATGTCAATGACACGGCACTTCTCTTTACAAGGGATTTCAATTCTTCACTTCCGAAAAATCAGCCTTGAATTCCCTTTGAAGTCACTTCTTTACAGACAGCCTCAACGATAGTTCACATCCCGGCACCTTAAACCCCTCTCCTGACACTCCCCCTGGATTCTTGAAACTGCACTCCAGCTACTTAAAGATACAATTCTAGCTTTTCTTCACACTGCTATTTTCTGTAAGCTAGCACTGTCCCTGGGTTTCTCTGAGCTCCAGTCTTTCTTAGCTGCTGCAAATAAATACTGCATCTGGGCTTCCATCACTCCTGAGCCTTACCCCAACACTCAGCTGCACCTACTGACTCCCCTGACGTCTCTGAGCCCTAACTGCTTAGAATTTGTTAAAGCACACCTTTTCAGGATGGGACTCATTCTCCCTGTTGCTGTCCATTTATCCTTTATCATTGTCATGGGTTTTGTGGCATGGATTTGCACCATTCCATGTCCCATGGCCAATTTTTCACCCTCTGCAATCCTATGGGTGCACTTTTGACATCCATATGGTCAAGCCCTTTAATATGTAAAACAAAAAGACAGAGAGTAAATATTTCCTGTCACACTGCTCTTCTGAGTATGTGCTGGGACTTCAGGGCCTCCTGAGAAATAAAATCCTTGCCAGAGGCAGAAATCAGAGAAGTTTGAGTTTTGAAACCAGTTGAAGAAGGTAGCAATGCTGAAATCATATGATGACCGGATAGTAATAGTTAGGGCGTAGCAGGGCAGCTGAAGTTCTGAAATTCAATGCTGATGGATGCCTCGATTACTAATTATGTCTTCATATAATGGAAAATGGCAAAAATAGAATATTCTTTTAGAGATTGGATTAATGATCAACTCTCACAGCACAATGGGAAGTCATTCTCCTGTGCTAGCTCTTTGAAAGAGTTCTCCAACCAGCTCCACTCCATCCATATAGCTGTGCTAAATTTTCTTTGAAAGTATAAATCGAATTCCTTTTTGAAAAATAGTATTGAATTTGCTTCTTCCATATTTTTGGAAAGTGCATTCCAAATCACCATAACATGCTGTGTAAAAGAAAATTCCCCTCATCTTCCCTGATACTTTTGCCAAAGACATTTAAACCTGTATTTTCTTATCTAGTCTATCAAAATGACCTCAGAATTTTGAATACCTCTCATTATATTTCTCTACTTTAAGGAGAACAACCACTGAATTGCTTATCAATGAAGTCTTTAATTACTAGTAATGTCTGAGTGTCATTGCAGAAATTATGGGGCATTCTGCTCAAGAATGTTAACAGCATCAGCTCCAGGTGTGTTCGTGTGCTCATCATGCCATCCTCACGTGGAATGTAAAACCTGTTTTGGACTGTGGACCATGTGGATCATATTCATGGGATATTGCCACTATTGTTTTACAGGCAGAGCTGATTGTTGGTGATCAGAGTGGTGCCATTCACATCTGGGACCTGAAAACTGACCACAATGAGCAGCTAATTCCAGAGCCAGATGTTTCAGTCAATGCAGTTCACATCGATCCAGATGCAAGTTACATGGCAGCTATCAATAGTTCGGTAAGTGACATTGAACCATGAGCAGTACGTATCTTCTTTTGTGTTCAAACTAGACTGAGGCATAGAGTCATACAGCATGGAATCAGACCCTTCGGTCCAATCAGCCAGGTTCCCAAACCAAACTAGTCCCACTTGCCTGCATTTGGCCCATTATCCCTCTAACCTTTCCTATTCATGTACTTATCCAAATGTAACTCTATCTGCATTCGCCACTTTCTCTGGCAGTTCACTCTTCTGTGTAAAAATGTTGCTGCTTGTGTCCTTTTTAAATTTTTCTCCTCTCACCTTAAAAATATGCTTAAAAATAAAAATATGAACTCACTCCATGCTAGGGAAAAGATCCTTGTCAGTCACTTCATCTATAATTTAGGAAATCACAGATGAATTTTTCAGGACCAATGCTGGTCGGTGAGAGCAGGGGCCTGGTGCTGTTGGTTGGGAGCAGGGACCCGGTCCTGAGCTGTGGGAGCAGGGGTCTTGTGCTTTTGGGTGGCAGCAGGGGCCTGGTGCTGGGCTGTGGGAGCAAGGGCCCAGTGCTGGGCTGTGAGAGCAGGGGCCTGGTGCTGGTGAATGAGAGGAGCGGGGCCTGTGTTAAAACAGTGGGATTGATGGAACCAGTGCTGGTGGAGAATTATGCAACCAACTGTCAACCTAATGTTTCTTCCTGCCTAACACTTGTTTCACTACAATTTCAGTGCACAGTGGCACTGAGCTGTTTTTCCTTGTCCATCAAACTTTGTGTCAGGAGTCAGTAGTGCTTTTTGGTTTGTCACACTGATGTTCAGCCTTCTCGTGCTTCTGCTAATCCTTGTTCTGTTTGGAGGGATTGATTCCCTCCCTTGGTCAATACTATCCATAAAATCTTAGCAGATTAATTGATTTCTCTGTTCTTTCTTTATCTCCAGGGTAATTGCTATGTGTGGAATCTGACAGGTGGAATTGGTGATGATGTCACTCAGCTCATTCCCAAGACCAAGATCCCAGCTCACAAACGCTATGCTCTACGCTGCAAATTCAGCCCTGATTCCACGTAAGTTCTTCCATTTCTGTGATATCCTAATCTGCTATCAAACTGTCTGCTCAGTGTCATAAGTGGGTCTGAAGTATTTCAGGAAATGATAGTTCATCTTATACCTGCTGCAAAATACTTTGCTTCCTGAGACCCACTACATGACTGACTGTTTCACTTGGCTGGTTGACTGGTTTGTGATGCAGAATGATGTCAACAACATGGGTTTAATTCCTATACTAGCTAAGGTCACCATGAAAATTCCATCTTCTTGACCTTGATCCTCACCTGACGAACAGTAACGCTAAGGTTAAATCACCACCAGTCATATCTCTCTAATGAGAGAGCAGTTCTCTGGTCCTCGGGGTCTATTGCGGCTTTACATATATTTTTAGATTAATCTGTAAGAGAGCATAATTTAGGCAAACCATGACCCTACCCTCTTTGAAAGTGTGCAGTAGGAACAATAAATCCATGCACGGACAAATTGCACCCTGAATAGGCCAACAGCGTGCTTCACCCGATCAACTATTTCAAAGTAATAAACGTCTGAAAAGTTTGCAATTTTCTTCATCCATTTGTTTTGTTTAATGTAAAGTCTAGTAACAGACTAGACATGATGAAATAATTCTGTTCTGAGCTTTGTACTGAATCAGTAGACTCTCTCTTACAGCATTTATTGTCAGCATTTATCCTAGTTTTGCTACTTCAAGTACACAATGGCACTGATGCGTCTTTCCCTTGTCCATCAAACTTTATGTCGGGAAGTCAGTAGTGCTTCTCTGTTGTCACACTGATGTTCAGCCTTGTGCTTCCGCTATTCTTTGACCTCTTTGGAGGAGATAGTTTCCTCCCTTAGTCAATATTATCAAAAAAAGGTTAGCAAAATTCATTTATGGCACCCAAGGAGGCCATTCAGCTTCAATGCTGGCCCTCTGAGAAGAAATCCAGTCAGTTTAATGCTGCCTCTCCATCTGCATAGTCCTGCAAGTTATTTCCCTCAAGTGCCTATCCAGCTTCTTTTTGAAATCATTTATCGGTTTCACTTTCGCCACTGTCATTCTGGGTGATTAGAATTTGATACATTAAAGATAAAATTCTACCTTGCCTCCCCTGTATTTCTTTTCTCAAAACCTTAGATTTGTGTCCTCATAGTGCTTGGACCTTTAGCTAACGGCAACAGCATTACTTTATCTTTATTGTAATTTAGCACACCCCTCTTATGATCTCGCCTCAATCTCTTCTGCTCAATGGAGAACAACTGCAGCTTCTCCAACCTTTCCTTGTAGCCACAATCACTAATCCATCCAACATTTGGGTAAATATCCTCAGTTGAATCATCCTGCCTTCCACATATGGCTGCTAACTCTCCCTATATAACAGTTGCTACATTCTAAGTAATTAGTTAGGTGTGATACTCTTTAAAATGTTCCTGGAGATATGTTAAGCACACATCAGTCCCCCATTTAAATTATGAAATGTCAGTGCAACAGCCAACTGAGAAGAATGCAACATCAATTGGGAAAAAAATACCAAAAAAGCAAAAAAAATGCAGATGTTGGAAATACAAAACATTAATTGGGCACTGAAAACAAAGATGTATAACAATTTTCTTCAACAAAGTGCTTAGTATCTGTTTTGGCTATAAAAAAGGACTGTGTCCCACCGTGCTGCCACCTTGGCAATCAGGAGGGAGTAGCCTGAGGAACTACTCAACATTGACTGTGGACTACATGAAGTCTCATAGCATCAGGTCAGACATGGACAAGGAAACTTCCAGCTGAGTACCATGTACTAACCCCCTCAGCTGATGAATATTCCTCCATGTTGAACCTTGGAGGAAGCGCTGAGGGTGGCAAGGGCACAGAATGTACTTTGGCTGGGGGATTTCAATGTCCACCACTAAGTGACTTGGAAGAACCACGACTGAGTGAGCTGGTTGAGTCCTAAAGGAAATTGCTGCTAAACTGGGTCTGCGATAGGTGGTGAGGGAACCAACAAGAGGGAAAAACATACTTGATCTCATCCTCATCAATCTGCCTGCTGCAGATGTATAAGTAAGAGTGGCCGCTATCCAGTCCTTAAGGAGACAAAGTCCTGTCTTCATTTCGAAAGTATCTTCTATTGTCTTGTGTGGCATTATCACCGTGCTATATGGGATAGACTTTGAACAGACCTAGCAACTCCATTGGGTATCCATGAGATGTGGTGTACCATTTGCAGCAGCAGAATTGTACTCCAACATAATCTACAACATTATAGCTGAGTATATATCCCCAATCCACTATTGCCATGAAGACGGGATGAAGCCTGGTTCATTGAAAAGTGCAAGAGGGCAGATTAGGAGCAGCATCAGACATATCGAAAAGTATGTGTCAACCTAGTGAAGCTACAAAACCGGACTATACGGTGCCATAAGCATAAGCAACAAGTGACAGCTAAGCAATTCCATGACCAGGTCTAAGCCCTGCAATCCTGTCACATCCAGTTGTGAATGGTGGTGCACAATTAGACAACTCACTGGAGGAGGAGGCTCCTAAATATCCTCATTATCAATAATGAGATGGCCAGCACATCAGTATAAAAGATAAGGCAGAAGCATTCACAACAATCTTGAGCTGGAATTGCTGAGTTGATGATGCATCTCGGCCTCCTCCAGTGGTTCCCAGCATCACAGGTGTCTGTCCTCAGCCAATTTGATTCACTCCATTTGATATCAAGAAACAGTTGGAGGTACTGGGTATTACGAAGGCTATGGGACCTGACAACATTCCAGCAATAGCACTGAAGACTCGTGATGCAGAACTTGACACGCTCCTTGCCAAGCTGTTCGAGTACAGTAACAACATTGACTTCTACCCAATAATGTGGAAAATTGCCCAGGTATGTCCTGTATACACACAGCAGGACAAATCCAACTCAACCAATTGTCACCCCATCAGTCTACTCTCAGTCATTGGTAAAGTGATGGAAGGAGTCATTAACTATGCTGTCAAGCTGCATCTGCTCAGTGATGCTCAGTTTGGGTTCCGCCAGGGCCACTCAGCTCCGGACCTTATTACAGCCTGAGTTCATACACCTGGACAAGCGCAGGCAATTGAAGGGAGAACTTATCAGAACTAAATGACTTGTGCTGGGTACTACCCTTTCAGAGGATACATCATTGATATTAAAACTACCTGACGATGTCAGACAAGCTGCCACTGAGAAGTCTCAGGCTAACGAAGCTTTGAATAGTTTAGAACAAACTCTTTTGTACTCCCTATTATTGCATATTATAAGTTGATTCCATTTTAAATCAGATTGTTAACAATGTGTTTTATAATAATCCTGCTTGAAATCATCCCGTCAATATGTATTCTAGAACTATATTACAGTCCTGTTACTATTTCCTTCAGACTTCTTGCTACATGCTCAGCTGATCAGACCTGTAAAATATGGAGGACTTCAAACTTTTCACTGATGACAGAGCTTAGCATCAAGAGCAACAATCCAGGAGAGACATCACGAGGCTGGATGTGGGATTGTGCATTCTCTGGGGATTCACAATATATTGTCACAGGTAAGAAGAGTGCCATACAAAAAAGGAACTGGTTCCATTTTAGCTCTGCCTAGAACTGCTCTGGTATTATCATCAGGTTTACAAAGAGGATGACGACTCACTCCAACTTACAGTTGAATTCATGGAAATGTTTGTGATTTAGAGCTCTTAAAAAAGTCTTCTTGATTCATTGCTGTAGATCATGATGCCAAAGTGGGTTCTCACAGATTAGTATTATGGAAATATCAGATGGCAGACCAGTTTAGAGGAGTCATGGGTTTGAAATAGAACTCAATTTGTGCCTTGAAAACCTTGCATACTCTGCTTTTCAAACCAAGCTTTGCTTAGTGGCCTTGAGTTGGAAGGTTGTAAAGTCAAGTCCTGCTCCAAGACTTGAGCGTATAATCTAAGGTGACGTACCAGATTAGGACTGAGAGATGACCACACTGTTGGAGTTGCTGTCTTTCAGGTGAGCCATTAAGGTGACGCCTGAACTGACCTCAAATGGGCACATAGGATTCTATAATATATTTTGAGAACAAGCAGAGAAGTTCTTCCAAAGTTCTGTTGAGTGTTTGTCTCTTAAATAACATCACTGAAATAGATTGACTGGTCATATATAACATTTCTCTTTGTGAGTCTACCCCTGTCAGGAAGTTGACTGCTGTATTTATTGCCATAAACAATGATTACACTTCAAGATACTTAATTGCCTTTAAACCATATTGGAACCCTGTTTAGGATTGTGAAAGATGCTATATAAATGCAAATTATGTCTTTTAAAAGTACACTGGCTTGATAAAACCATTTAGGTAACTGAGCAGTGAGCTCAAGGCCTTTATAAAGTATGTTAACATGATTTTAATCCAGAAGACTAAATTGACGGCTGATGAGCATTCTTTGCATACTGAAGAGTAATGTTGTTTTTCTCGATCACAGCCTCTTCAGATAACCTTGCGCGCCTGTGGTGTGTGGAGACAGGTGAAATTAAACGGGAGTACAGTGGCCATCAGAAGGCAGTCGTGTGCCTTGCCTTTAATGACAGTGTTCTGGGCTGAAGATTTCCACCCCATCCCACCTCCATCCCTCTCTTTGCCCCATTCCCTTTTCCATTCCAAGCTCTTTTTGAAATTAATTCCCAGCCGAAATTGTTCTTTGGAAGCCTCTGTGAGATCAATCTGAGCTGCTCAATGCTGGAACATATGTACATGCATCTTTGGCAGGTTCAACCATCACATGACTTGTGAGACAGTAATTAATAGCCCAAGAACATGCGTTCTGATGCCAAGGTTTTAGTAAAGTCAGTGACAGATAAATGAGCTTTTCACCCTGTGTCCACTTGAACTCTGAAGAAATGTCCAGCAACACTTTTTTAGACCCTTTGCTTCCAAACCTGGACAGTCAGATGTATATTATGAACTTTCTAATACCTCTTGAAGTATTGGTAAGTACAGGTCTATTGTTGGCGGTAACAATATGAATATTTTTGAAGGTATAAATTAAGGATATCCTGTGCAGTGTTAAAGTGTAAGCTCTCTGTTGTTACATCCTTCTATGTAGTAACTTTGATAGAAGAGAAGCTTGTCAACAATTCTAGAATCCTAGTGTGAACAAGTTTGCTTTTACTCCAATTGTAGTGGGAGCCACAATGGAAGCTGTTTGATTTGTAGGAAGCGGGCATATCTGATGCCATCAGCATAATCATCTGACATTTTGCATACTGAGACAATATGGACAATGAGTTTACAATGCAATCATAAATGTTCTGATCGTTAACCTGATGCTGAGTAAAATCATTAAACCTATAGACAAAGAAGCATTATTTCTACACCTGACTGGATGCTGCTTTCCTTTTTTGAGAGAGAGGAGAAGGGGTATTATAAGATTCTATCATTAAGCTACCATGTTTGGAATGCCCTGTGGAGACATGGCAGTGTGTAAGTGCAAGTCTTATTTCTGTTTTGTCTCTGAATAACTGTATAGTTTTAAAACTAGGTAATGTTTCAGCACACATACATAAATAAAATACTGAAGATACTGGAAATTTGAAATAAAAACAGAGAATGTTGGAAATACTCCACTAGTCAGATTGCATTTACGGCGGAACAGATTTAACATTTTTGCAATATTTACAGTGTATGAAATGTGTGTGCAGATTTGATGCTGTTTTTCCTATATTAAAACAGTGGCTATACCCAAACGTCCTTTGGGTGTAAAATGCTCTGGAAGGATCCAGGATCAGGAAAAGCATTGAGGAAGTGCACATACGTTATTCAGTCTAACTTTTTTTGAGCACATTTTTCTGGCATTCTGCATTTATGGTTAGGGTTTAAGGATCTCTTCCCTATCAGTACCGAGTTTGCAATGAGTGGCCTCATTCTACCCTTGTTCTGTGAAATGGGTGCAGTCTTGAGGCTTTGACAAGTGATGTGATTCCATGTCTGGATGTTACAGACTATGGCAACAAAAATGTATCCATGGTGAGTTGATCAGTTTTATTGTTTCTCCGGAAAACTCAAAAACATGTAAATGGGTGGTGTACATCTCAGTAACAAATAGGCAACTGCATGAAGCAATATAAAGAAACTAGTTCTCTGATGCCATTGTAAAATCTTGAATTTTGATAATTTTTAACCACTAATACTTCAATAACAAAATATATTAATTCTGAACTAGGGAAGAAGTGACATATTGTATTCAACAGACTAACCAGGCTAACAAAAGTAACTTCCTCCCCCTTCAATCCACCTCCCCTCTGTACATAGGTTGTTGCATATCCTTGCATTGAAGCTTATTAATTAGTTGCTGGTGCTCTGAATAAGAATTGGGAAAGAAAGGAATCAGAATTGTAAGAGTAAGGGAAAAGCAATTAAGTTACTCTTTTTAAAACAAATCAGCTATGTTCTGAAATCAAAGACTAACGTGAGGAAATAGTGCAGGCAAGGTTTAATCTGGCAGATAGTAAAAACACACGGAGACACAGACATTGTTTGGAAAACAGATATCGATGCAGAAGTAGATCAGCCGTTGCCTCCCAGGCCCTGTGGAAGCAGAAAGGTAGTGTTGTGAGAAAAATCAGGAGCCAAATGGAATGCAGCCGATAGGATCACTAATGTGTCCTTAATTATTGACTGAGTACACAGCATAGCTGTGCCTTTTCTGAGCTAATTCATGAGCTACAGTACCACAAGGACATTGCATGGTACTGTAAAGGTTGTGAGAGCAATGCCTCCCTTCAGTGGCACTTGAATAAACTACAAGTAAAATTATTAAGCTACAGAGATTTTCAGTAAATGTTCTGCATCATGTTCTTGACAAAGAACACTATTGAATGGAGTTTATTGTAGAACAGCAAAAGGGAAATTACACATCTGACATTCTCAATACATCAGAAATAAGTGAAAGGCGTTATTCCAACCCTGACACTTAGTGTTTTATAAAATAATGTTGCAATTGTTGAAGCCCTTTTAAAAACACAGCACTTACTGTTACTTTTCTGCAGCCAATAAACAGAGATGTGCTTGCAGAGACTGTCAACATGATCACCCAAAGTCAGTAGATCCACTTTCTTTTTACTCAGGATTCCAAAATACTCCCTGGAGAATTGGGTTTCATTTCTTGGCAGCAACAACTGGTTAAGTTAAAAAGAAATCAGTGTTTTCTCTGTATAACTCTTCAGGTTTTTCACATGATAAATTAGTTACTTACACTTTGTAAATCCTTATTGTCAACATTCCCCCCCCCCCCCACCCCACCTCCTTTTCTCTCTCTAACCACCTTCACTCTTTCTGCTGCAGTGTTCCAGTGAAGCCCAGCACAAGCTTGAGGGACAATTCATGTCATATTTAGACACCTTACAACTGTCTGGATTCAACATTCAGCTAAACTTCAGACCATGAACTCTGGCCTCTTTTGTTTCTTTATGTCAGTGTTAGTGTGTATCTTCATGATTTTCCTTTCTGACAGAGCTTTCTTTCTTCTGCTGTTAACACTTATTTGGGTCCAAATCTTCATTACAACTACTTCCACTCCCTTTGCCTTTTGTTAGCTTTTTTGCTCTAACCGATCCTGGACCCTCTTCCTTTTCCAATCACTTCAAAGACATCACATTTATACCTTTCTTCAGTTCTGAGGAACAGTCATATTGAACTTTGTATTAACTCAATTTCTGTCTTCACAGTTGCTACCAGACTTGCTGAGTTTACCAGCATTTTCTGATTTTATTTCAAATTTCCAGCATTACAGAATTTTGCTTTGACCTCCAACTCTCTTCCTCACTTTCCTTTTTTAAGTCACTCCTTAAAGTCAATCTCACTTATGAAGTTTTTGGTCATCTGACTTAATATCTCCTTAAGTGACTTAGTGTCATACTTTATTTTGTAAGGCATCTGTCAATCGCCTTTACATTAAATGCCAACATTTATGTAAATTATTGTTATTTAAGGGCTGTTACCCCGTCACCCTTAGCTTCACAAAACTCCAGTGGTTCCTTGCCCTGCATATATTAGTTTTACAATCCCTTCACAGCTTCACCTTCCCATCTTTTCAATGCCACCAATCCCCATCCAACTGAAATGTCAGCCTTCCTGCTCCTTTGATGCTGCTTGGCCTGCTGTGTTCATCCAGCTCTGCACCTTGTTGTCTCGGATTCTCCATCTGCAGTTCCTACTATCTCTGTCCCATCTAGCTCTCTGTTTTCTTTTGATCCTGAATTGTATTGTCAGAACTGCACTGTCCACCTTCAAGATGAGCCTTCATCCTTGACATATCCATGGCACAGAATATTTTCATAAGTTTTTAACCATGTTCTATTGTTCCAGCAGTATAAATCTACCATTGAAGTTCAGCCTGTTGATGCATGTGCTTCCATTGAAATCCTTGTCTCTTGTGCATCAGCACTTTGAAGAAAATCCTTTTTGTTTATCAACACTCGCTGAAGTTCAGCCCTAATGCTTGTTAACTCCCTCTTTGCAGTTCATTCCTCAGTTTATTAACTTTCTGACTGAGAGACAATTATACCTCACATAATTCCTATGTTCTTGCCTCTAATCATTATGCTTAAGATTATTCCAAACATTTAGTATCCTTTGAGGAAAAAAAAGTTTGTCTTTGTGAGTTTGGGGCTGTAAGTACACTGCACAAATGTTCCCTTGTTCAGTACTATTTGTGCAATTCCAGCCAGGTCACAATTGCATTGCTGTGTAAAGTTAATATGTGTTTGTAGCATTGTCTCTACACTTTAAAGATTTGTAAAGAATATTAAATTGAGGCCATATCCTCGTTGAGCAAACTCCAACAATGTTATTCCACAGCTGCCTTCTGTAAACCACTGAAAGGCTGGAACCAAATCGTATGTTTAAATATCACGGTGGACTAGTTAAGAATGATCCCATGGAATAATGAAATCTGAATGCTGCCCTGTTAAATTTCATTATCAGCATGGTTTATATTAGTTATCATTAACTTTCTGTTGCTGCTGCAACTTGATTACTACATCTCAGAGGAAATTGTTATTTTCCTCTGCCAGGATTGTTGTCTTTGTCTCAAACTGAATTTTAAACGCATTAACTGATATTCAATTTATTCCCATGAGTGTAGGAACATAATCCTGGAATTTACTGACAATTAGGAATTAGCAAATCTAAGGTGAAGTACAAAAGATTTTAAGAAAACATAGACCAATAATTGGATAGTTAGATGGTAGTTTCTATTGGCTTTCTTGGTAATGCTTAATTCTATTCTACAGGTATTTAACAATTTTTGTTTCAATAAATCCAATTTGTGGGGCCAAATGATGTGTTTTATGCTGCAAATAATATGTAATTTAAGATGTGTCTCAAATTCCACAATCACAATTTTACTTTCTGATCTTGTCTGTGCTGACCACCTCTTTCACCAGTGCTAAGCCAGACTTGTCGAACATAAACCACGTTCTGCACTTGACTAAGCAACAGACTAAGATGGAATGCATAACGTCATTGGAGAAAGGAATTCCCGACAAAGGAAGAGAGAAATAAAAACAGTTATTTTTATAGTAAATGAAATGCAGAAGAAATGTAATTTGCATGAGATGAATGATCGCAAGCACTAAATATTTGTGCACATATAATTTTGCAAAACTCACGAGTAACTAACAAACACATAATAGGTAAGTGAAATGCTTTGAGCAGAACTTAGCCATACATAGAGAAGGTTTGATACCTTATTGGTGCGAAATTTAATTGAACTCAGATGGAGAATGGTTGTGGCAAAATCGCTTTAGTGACTTTGGATCAGACAGAGAGAAAATTAATGTACATGGACATCTGCTGGAGAGTGGAAATCAGGTAAGACTTTAATCACACATTCTGTGACTCCATCATAGTTCACCAGCTCTGTCTGGGGTCACACATGAAAAATAGTTGCTTAGGCGAGGTTACTGGAACTGTATTCCAGAAATGATCAGTACCAACAGATGAGGATGGGAGAATGTTTAGTGGACCCTGTAGATACAAGTGAGTACTCTATATTTTCCTGGAACCTAATTTTCCCTGATGATGGAAAATCTGTGTGAACGCATGACTGGAATCAACTTGGAGATGTGAGCTGAGATGGTGTTTCAGCGCAGCAGTCCACAATAATGCTACAACTTTTACAGTGAGAGTGGAACAAAGCAGGTTTTGCGTTATATCCACGGCCACTCATGAAGGGATGCATTTCATTTTGGGCCTTAGCCCACCGCCAGAAATACACAGGGTGAATTCTGCTTGCTGGGTGCAACCATCTGTTTTAATGGGTAACAATTTTAACTTTTAGTTAATTCAAT